GAATTCCACTCCTAGGAATTGACCCAAAGAAAACAACTTCTCGGATTCAAAAAGACATATGCACCCCTATGTTTACTGCAGCACTATTTACAATAGCCAAGATACGGAAGCAACCTAAGTGTCCATCAGCAGATGAATGGAAAAAGAAGATGTGGTGCATATACACAATGGAATATTATTCAGCCATAAGAAGGAAACAAATCCTACCATTTGCAACCACATGGATGGAGCTAGAGGGTATTATGCTCAGTGAAATAAGTCAGGCAGAGAGAGACAAATACCAAATGATTTCCCTCATTTGTGGAGTATAACAATGAAGCAAAACTGAAGGAACAAAACAGCAGCAGACTCACAGACTCCAAGAAGGGATTAGTGGTTACCAAAGGGGAGGGGTGGGAGAGTGTGGGTGGGGAGGGAGGGAGAAGGGGGTTGAGGGGTATTATGATTAGTTCACTTGGTGTGTGTGGCAGGGGGCAGTCACGGGGAAGACAGTGTAGCACAGAGAAGACAGGTAGTGACTCTGTGGCATCTTACTACACTGATGGACAGTGACTGCAATGGGGTGTGGGGGGGACTCAATAATATGGGTGAATGTAGCAACCACATTGGTTTTCTTGTGAAACCTTCATAAGAATGATCAACGATACCTTAATAAAAAAAATTATTTAAAAAAGTAGTCGGTCAGAGACAGTGACGGAGCTGGGATTTGAGCCAGGTCAAGCTGCCTCCAAAGCGGACGGCTCCACCGCCCTGGAGACGCACTGTCACAGGTGGGCTCCCTTGCTTCCACATTCCTAGGGCGGTGGCAGCAAGGGGGCCGGGGAGAAAGCTGACAGCAGCCTGACAAACAGGTTCAGATTCACTAAGTGCCTCATTCCTGCTTTTTGACTCATATGAAGCCCCTAGGAGGTATTTTTCTGCAACTCCAAGGCCTATAGGGGAGAAAAAATAAAATTGTGGCCAGGTAGGGAAGTTCAGAAACATCTTGATTATTTAACAGCCTTAATGAGCAACCACACAGCATTAGACTCCTCCAGGCCCCGGATATCGGAAGCAGAGAGGTCCCTACCCTCGTGGTGGGGATGCTCCCTTATGGGAGAAACATAGTTAACCAGCACACACACAAGCAGCATCATGAGGCTGCCACGGGGGCTGTGGAAGAAATGGGCTCCCCAAGGGAGAGTCCGCAGACAGGGTGCTCAGGAGAGGCCTCACTGCGAAGAGCAGATGCCAGCCAAGACCTGCTAATCACGTGGGGGGCAGAGCGGCGCCTCCTCGACAGGACAGCAGCGCTGGCAAATGCTCTGGGCACAACACTGAGCCTAACCAGCTCAGGAATCACAACAAAGCCATCACCTGACGCCCAACAAGCTCCTGTGATGGCAGAATACCGCTCGTCTGACCAGCAGCAAGATTCTAAGCCCACACGGTGAGCAGAATCATCACATAGCCATTCTAGCTGACATGCATCCATTTCCACAAATCTGAACTTTGCTTGAAAAACTGCTTACATACAAGAACACTTAACCTGCAGAAGCAAGTGGAGAGACAGCCAGCAGAGACACGGCCCCAAATCTGAGGAGGGATACGGACAGGCAGGACACTGTACTCTAGCAACTCTTTTCCTTTGTAGAAATCACGGTTGGCAGCTGCGACTCCAACCCCAAGGAATGCTCACACAGCCCCCGCAACCAGCCTGGCCAGCAACCCCCCAGAAGGAGGATGCTGTGCCTGGACAGCCCAGCTGGCAGAGGTGAGAAGAGGCAGGGGAACAAGTGGCTCTCGGGCAACTTGAGCCTCCACATCCACGTTCAAGAGGGCAGCAAAAGCTGAAGAGAAAGGAAAGCAGTTTCTGTCCTGAGAAAACAGCCACAAGCCCTCTGCAAGAATAACTTTACTAAGGTTTCAATGATGTCTTAAGACGGGAGGGTGGTGTCACTCTGTTGCAGGCACACGATGGCGGTCACCTTCCAGGGAGTCCCTTATGGTGGACTAAATGGATAAAGGAAATTATTGCCGACTCCGCATGGACTGACTGTAAACAATCACTGCCTCTCTCCAGGACTCGGCTCCCTCGTCTGTCACCTGCGGATGACTGAACGGGTAACTGCTCCAGGGTCCTCTTTCAGCTCAGACACTGTCTAACAAAATAAGGATAAGAACACCTCATAGGACAGTTAGTACTAAACGAAATACACCATGCACGGTGCCCAGCAGAGGGCCCAGCACATGGACAGTGCCAATAAGATTTAGTGACGATGATGGTGGTGATGAGGTCCACCTCTAAACTACCTCCTTCTTGCTAAGAACACCACGTGCTTCCCATGTCCCATGGTAGTAACCCTTCAGATCACCTACCATCATTTCCAACTGTGCTTATTCACATTGTTTTGTCTCACGTTTTTCTCCCCAGCCACACCACGAGCACAGCAACCACATCTCCTCTGCCTTCGCCAGTGTGTAGCACAGTGCCAGGGCAGAGCAGGCGCTCACATTTTTTTAATGAATGAACTGTGTGTATCGAGTATAACAGCTAACATCAAATGACTGTACGACAGACGCTGCTCTAAGCATTTTATATGCATGTGTTCACTCATTTCCTCCTCATAATGAGGCTGAGTATTACCATTGTCCCCACTTCACAGATCAGGAAACAGACAACGAGAGGTTCAGCTCCCTCCCCAGGTCTACACGCAAATGGCAGAGGTGGGTTTGGCCTCCAGCAGCCTAGCGCCAGGACCCACTCTTAACCACCGCTCTCTAACAGCTACTTCACTTCCACTTTTACTGTACTTTTGCAGCTCAGCTCTCCAAATGCACACTGGTTGTGGAGAAAACCAACTCCCCCAAACTCAGATCTAAACACTAGGCCCCAGCTGTGCCAAGCTCCCACTCCTGAGCAGCTACATTCGCACAGGAATGCCAAGGTGCCCTCCTAGCAGCCCTCACACCCAACACGCCAGCTTCTTGCAGGCAGCAACAGGTTGTTATCACACCCGAAGCAGCCAGAGCAGGGACGACGCGGAAGGGTAGTCTGAGCAGCACACACACAGATGGGAAACTTCCACCGGCCACTGAGGAGCCCCTGCTGGCTCTTAGGTATTGAATCCACTCCCTAGATGCCTAGGGACATTTCTCTTAAATGTACATAATATTATGATATAAATGTCTGGGTGTGAGGGGGAGGGGAAGAGCAGATATACTGAAAAAAAGAAATGGCAAAGAGGGAGGGAAGAGAAATGCTTCCCCACCATCATCAATCATGCTTCAGCGGGAACGAGGGGAGAGTGTCGTGTGCGAGGGAACGTGTCCTGGTGACTGAGGACAGAAAGCTCTTTACACTTTTAAGGGATGATCTTAAGAAACAGCATCTCTCACCATCTACAGTCTCACGCCCACCCCTGGAAAGGGGGCTCCCCCTGCTCCTGTCATTACCGTCACTGGCACTAACTCAAAGGGAGTCCCTCGGCCCCCTGCTCCTCCTCGGTGGGGAACCCACACCAGTGCTGAGGGCGGAGGGCAGAGGGCGGAGTGCAGGGTGCCAGGGCTCAGAGGGACAAGCACCTACAGAAAGCTGAGTCAGTGCGGGTCGGCCCAGCCTCGCCTCCGCCTCCGCGCCCTCCAAAAGCTCTGCAGCCAGCACTGGGTGTTTTCAGGAGCGGGACGCTCGGGCCCCACGGCCACTGCAGAGGAGCCCACTCGCTAGGCCTGCACAGGCAAGAACTCAGGGAGAAATACTCTTGGCGCATTTGCTGTCTTGGGCAAAATCTTGGTGGAACAAGACTCCTTTAATTACACATTCCTTAATCTCTGATACAAAACCAAGGAGCTCCAATTCCTTCATAATTGCAACTGTAAAATTGGTAGAACAATGCTGTAGAAGTGGAAGGAAAATCTTTGCTATGGTCTGTCCTTCCACCTATGGCCAACGATCCCACTGACTAACCTGATGGCACATCACTGCGTCCTTTGGATGGATCCTAATCACCTTCATTTTCAGAATGCAGATGCGCTCAGTCGGGAGGTGGGTAGGGAGGGAGACCCCACTTCGCTGTATTGCAACTACCTTTTCCCCCCTCCAGGCACCTGTCAAGGCCATTCCACACTTTTAAATTCCACGCCAGTGAAACAAGAAGTAGGTGTTGCCCCAAACCCCCGGCAGGTGGCGCAAGGGACAGTGGCTGAATGACTCACAGTTCTAGAAAATCTTGAAAACCCTTTTGCCTTCATTGATTCCAATGAAAACATCTTCCCTGCAGGTGGCCTCTGACACTCTACTGAAGGTCAAACTGGCTAGAGTTTCCTAGTGATTTATCACAAGGCAGGGGAACCCTAGAGAATCCACCTTTTAAAAAAGAACAGGTTCCCTTTGCAGCCTTTCAGTAACATTGAGAATCAGCCAACTTTCAGCTACAGTCCCTCCAGGTCAGTGGTAACAAATGGTGACCTCTAGGCTGAAGTAGCCCTACTTTTTGACCTGCTCAATACGTAATATATATTATTTTAATCATTTGCCAACATATTTTAAACAAGGAAATTTCATATAAAACTCTGACTTTTCAGTTTCTGCTAAAAAATTTAAAGATACAGCAACAGAAGGCCCATTTTCACCACATAAAAACAGGCTAAAAACAGAGTCCTCATACCCACAAAACCCAATTTGCAACCCCTCTTCTAGGCTCTGAGCCGTGGGCCTCTGCAATCCATACAATTCCACGTTGTGCAAGCACACAGAGATCTTTGCTAACGTAAGAGAGGCATGGTTTCCGCCTTTGGATGATTTGTGAGCTACTACAAAATAATTAGATAACAAAATATTGGAATGACTGCTCTGGGGTGACCACTGTCTCCCTTCGGACAACTGTGAAGAACAGATGAGCGAGGCTCTAGGTTTATCTCCCAACATTTCCTGAAGACGGTGGGCTCAGATTTTCTGAAGAAGGTATGTTTTCCAGACCTCCCACCCTAAAATCTAAGAACACAGCTTGCGAAATTCTCACCTTGGCAGCCCCAATCTGCTCCTTCCGAAACTTCTCCAAGGGAGTGATGAGCACCTCGCTGGCATTCTCAATCTGGTGAGGGAAATCAGGAAAAACAAAAGCCATCGTCAGTAAAGAATGACAGCACCTCTGGCACAAAATGCCTCCCCATGTCTCAGTATAAAACGTGAGCAATATAGTACATGAGTGTCAACTGTTCATAATAACTGAACTAACAGTGTGTCAAATCAAAACCTATAGTCATCAGCTCATACCATGATTTTTTCCCCATGCATGATAAAGATTCCTAAAACACAAAACACAGGGACCTCTAAAAATGTAAGCATCCATCTGAAGGCAGAGGGGAACTGGTGACAGAGTACGGTTCTGAATTTCAAGCTTCTGGTGACATCTTTTAAGTGCTCATTCACCCAAGTTATATTTGAGCAGATGTGTTTAAAAAGTAGATCAATATGGAGTCTCAGTTAAAAATGAAGAACACCTCTGGACATCTGGTGGGGTGAAAACCTTCCGAGGCTGATTTTATGTGGCCCTACCAGTAATGGCCTGAGACCAGGACATGTGTGCCTCCCAAACACCGGCTGCCCTCTAAACTGCATCTCACTGAGCTACCCCACCAGACCTGCCCTCTACCCACACAGGCCCCCCAGTGCATGTCCAATGCACCAAACCTGTCCCACTTTTGGGCCTTTGCATTTGCCCACTCCCTCAGATGATCTGTCCCCAAATACTCCCATGGACAATCCATTACTTACTGTAATTCAGGTTCACTTAATGGTCTCCTGTTCAGGGGGAGCCTTCCCTAACCCAAAGCAGCTTCCAGCCACCCCACCAAGGGTTTTCTTTAGGAGATTTAAGACAACTGAAATTTTCTGGATTGCCAGTATGCACACATGCATGCGCACACACACACATATACACTATCTTGTAAATGCTCACTTGTCCACCACTATCCCTAAAAGACAGAAGAGTGCTGAAACAAAGAGCATGCAAAGATTTTTCATTGACTGAATGAGTGAATTATTTCTTGATTGGCTGCCAACTGTGTGACCATGGGCAAAACATTTAAGCTGTCTGGGCTCATATGTAAATGCCCTCGTCTGTAAAGTGAGTGGGATGGACTTCCTGCTGTAAGATTCTATGGTCTTTTCTAAGGCAGAACAATATTTTACAATATTTCCTTTTAAGTCATTCACAGCTCACTCATTGGTCAATTAATTATTTCAGGAATCTCATTCCAACAAAACATTATTTTTCTAAACCACAGGAGTATCTGTTGCAGTGAAATCAATGGAGTAGATGCCAGAAGCCATATATGGACAAAGCAGAGAACAACAGGACAATGTGAGGGGCAGAGGTGGTAAGTCTCCCAACCTACTGCCATTTGCCTTTTTCTCAATTTGAGAGCATTTATATTATTAGACAGCATTTTAACACTAGAGTATTCAGCATTTAACTTGTTTGATTTTTGTTATTTGATGTTGTTTAATTGGCTCATTTGTTTCAGTCTTTTCCACAAATCAAGTGTATGTCTCAAGCTCACAATGGTGAGCTGAGCCCAAAGTCAGTGGTTCTTATCCCAGGCTCACCTGAGGAGCTTTTTAAAAATTCCAATGTCCAGGCCAGACTACAGACCAATTAAGTCAGAATCTCTGTACTTCATCCCAGGCATCAGTATTTTTTAAACACCCCAAGTTGTCTCAGTGGGCATCCATGATTGAGAACCCAGCCCTAAGTAGGTGCCAAGTATACAAAAGCACTAACTGCTCACTTGGGAGACTGGACACCCAGGTCCTTGTCCCAGTCTTTCTACTGCTTGCTACCAGCTTTAATAAGGCCTCAGTTTTCTCATTTGTCAAATGAGGGACTGCAGGTGGTGAGAAATAATCAAAGATACCATGACTAACTTCCACTCAGTTCCAAGCACTGTGCTGATACTGGGACACCAAAGCCCATTCTCTGCCCTTCAAGAATTCATGTTTGCTATGGGATAGACACATGCAGTGATTAGAGGAATGAACTGGATATTAAGAAAATACAAGGGCTGGCCAAATATCTCAGGGAGTCAGGGAAAGCTTCCCAAAGAAGGCACAGCTTTGCTGAGCTGAACTGATGAGGAAGCTCTCACAGGGCATGGCGGTGGGGAAGGGACTCGCAGATATTCAGATGCAGATAGTAGAAACTCAATTCACTGACAGTAATAATAAAATTGTAGCAGCAAGCTAAAAAGTACAATCCAGTCATTGTTCCCTTACCACAGGCTATAGCAATCTGCAGGGTAGTCATCGTGATTTGCTCGCCACACCCCCCACCCCCAAATACTGACTTGGCCAAGAATCAAGCTCAGAAGAATCACTTCCCTCTCTTAGGCACTAGCACGTGCACACACACACACACACACACACACACACACACAAGCATTCCCCTGCCTCCATCCACCAGCACCCCTGCTGCTGCTGTCACTGCCCCCCACCCAGTCGTGGTTCAAGCACCCAGCAGTGAGCAATCAAGGCAAATACTGTCTCTCTGTGCAGGGCACAAGGTGCACAGCTTCTGCTGTGTTGAGTTTTAAAGAAATTCCAAATTTTTTGGTATAACACACACTTGGGTTTGAATCCAGACTGTGCCACTTGTGAACTGTGGGATCTTGTGCATGTTACTTAACCACTGTAAACCTCATTATCTTCTTCTGGACAGTGGGATGATATAGGTACCACCTCACAGAGTTATCATGAGGGTTAAAACAGAAAATACCAAAATATCTCGATATGTGATATGGACGGAACTGCATGCCCCCAAATGCATACACTAAAGCCCTAATCCCTATTAAATTAATTAAACAAGGAGACCACTAGACTGAGGCAGCTCTAATGCCTTAGCAGCCTATGTAAGCAAACCACAACCTAAGGCTGTAAATCCCTCAAGGTTAAGAAATTGATACCTAAGGACAACCAATCACAAACGATCAGACTTCCCCAAGCAGGGCAGCAGCTCACGCCACAGCAAATGGCTGCCGTGTTGGCTTCCACCTCTTCTCTGTAAGAGTCTTTCCGCAGCTCCGGTCGGTGACGTGCTCCTGCCCACTTCCAGGGCAGGGAAAAAATTCAAATCAGTTTTGTCCAAATAAACTCTTAAAAATTTGATATGGCTCCATTCATTGTTTAACACCCCAATGTTTTTGTATTTGGAAGTGGAGCCTTCGGAAGGCAATGCCCCTCATGAGGGCACTGTGCCCTTGTAAGAGGGCATGAGAACTGCCCTCCACCCCCATCCTCCGCCGTGTAGGGTACAGCAGGAAGGCGTCTGTCTGCAAGGCAGGAAGAGGGCCCTCACCAGGGGCAAATCAGCGGGCACCCTGCTCTTGGACAACCCCGTGTCCACAGGTGTGGGAGACAAGTGTCTGCTGTTGAATCCACCCAGTCTGCGGGGTCATGTCATGGCAGCCTAAGCAGCCTAAGACCGCGGACTCACTCTCAAACCGTCAGTCGTTAGTATGGGAAGAGAAGAGAAGCGCTCATTAGCGACTCTTCCCTAGGCCTCGGGGGCACTGCTGCCTACAAGCCCAGCCCTCCTGGGAGCACGCGGCCAGCACGCGGCCAGCACGCGGCCAGCACGCGGCCAGCACGCAGCCAGCACGCAGCCAGCACGCGGCCAGCAATGGGTTTCAGATCAGGCTTCATTCCTGATATTCAGGGATGTGGAGGAAGATGTGAAATAGCTTCCTGGGGATATGGAAACCCTCATCTCTTAACCCTGAACCTTATCAGAATGACGTCTAATACAAAAGATCTCTCTTAAGAGCCTGGAAATCAGCATTTGATTCTTGAATTTGTACAGTGCCTCTCTTTGAAGAACGTCTGAGAATCACCATCTTTTACTAAGGACCAATTTACTAGATGCCTACTCCACGGCAGGCACTGTGCTGGTGCTTCTGGGGAAAAAAAAAAAGCAAAAGGAGTGACCCCTGTTTTCCAAGAGCTGTAGGACAGGCTTAGTAACGTGAGGCAGGGAGCAGAGGGGGACCCTTTCATTCCCATTCTGCCAGTAGGGACCTGAGGCCCCCAAAGTTCAGTAATTCATAGGACCCACCCTTACATCATACACCTGAGGTGTATACACTTTACAGTGAACCTTTACAAGGACAGCATGTGGTTCTAAAGTTACCTAGGGTAATCCTTTAACATGTACAAAAGGCTTCAAGCCCTACAAAGATGAGATGATGAGATTAGCTAAAGAGGTCAGAGCGCCCAAGTGCAGGGCATGGACTTGAACACGGTGCTTCTAACAACAAATTCCATGTTCCCTCAACATGACCAACCGTCTGGGACCAGAAACAGCCCAGCCACACTCACCATCCGTATCCGCTCATCTTCGAGATTCCGAAGGACAGTGGCAAACTCCTGCAAAGACCTTGCTGGAAGAGAGAAAGGGGCCATGAGGTAGAGTTAGAGATACAGGCCTTTCGGAACCCTTCCCGGTGCAGCAGCTTTTATGTCATGGGTTGAAACCTCTTGGCACACACGGAAGCCTCGAGTCAATTGCTTCCCAAGGCTCGCCTTATCTTTTAATCATTACCCATTAAGAATGACCTAGAATGCAGGTTGATCCCACCTGGCACTCTAGCTAGAGAAGGATTTCCTTCAAGGAAAAGCCCTGCCTGTTCCCGAGAGGTCCCAGGACTGACAAGATGCTGGCCGGCTCCCAAGCCCCGGGCTGAAGAGGCACAGTTCCGCTTGGGACTTGGAGGGGTTCCTGCCCAGGATTCGACCTCCTCAACCTTTGTTGTGGGGCTGCGTCAGAAACCAAGCTTTTCGTTGGCCCCAGATCTAAAAAATGCTGCTCGCATCAGAAGCCACATCTCTGGCTCCTCCTTGGGCTTCTCCCCGCCGAGTCCTCAAGCCATTTATTAATACAGGCGGCCTGCAGCATGGCGGTCAGACACGGACTGGGAATAATCCCGGCAGAGGAGACAAAGACAGAAGGCATCAATCAAGTGCAATCACCCTAAGGGTATTCACGACGTTTGTATAATGTTGGGAAAAGCAGTCAATCAGGAATTACGACAATGTTGTGTTTTCACTGCTCAGCTGTCTCTCGGCTGCCTCTACTCATCCCAGATCCTGGTGCTCTGCATGGCAACAGGGACTCAATAAGCATTTGATGACTTAATTCAACAAAACTTTCTCAATTCTCCCTTACTTGATGAAGTCAATGTACGAAGAGTAGGTGCAATGACTGGGCAATGGCCAAGAAAGGTGTCCTGACATTGCAAATGTCAAGTGACCAGGCTGCCTACAGACAGGTGATGGTGAAGAGGGAAACGGCAGAGCAGGTGATAAATGGTGACCCTGCCATCTGGCCTTAGTTAAGAACACACAAGGAGAGGTGGGGACGTCTCTGAACTGGACCCTGAGCTCCTCTCCCCTCAGGGCAGTGGGAGCCTCACAGCCCCAGCCAACTGCTGCCAGGCCGGAGCATGGGGCCAGCCGATCCGATTCTCCAGGTTTCTGAGAACCTGGGAAAGTGGAATTTTACAAAAATTCAATTTATATGGTAATTTAATTTTAAAAAAAAAGAGTGCCAAAGAAAACATGGCTGCGCTCTGATCTCAGCCCACGAGCCATCATCTGTAACCTCTGAGCCAATTCTTGCCTCATCCACCTGCCTTCTGCCTTTGCTGTAAGTTCTTACGTCTGTGTTTGTGGGATGGAACATCAAAAACCAGCCGGCAGCAGGCGCCAATGAAGGGGGAGAGAACCGATGACCAACGATACTGTGATGCTTGGTGTGGTAATGGGGTAACTACACTTACGGGGGCAAGCATCTAACTAATGTATATAATTATCAAGTCACTATGTTGTACATCTGAAACCAATGTAATATCGTATATCAACTTCATTCCAGTAAAAAAAGAAAAGGGAGAAGAAGGGGGGGAGGGAGGGAGGGAGGGAGAGAGAGAGAGAGAGAGAGAGAGAGAGAGAGAGAGAGAGAGAGAGAGAGAGAGCGCCACCACAAACCTTCAAGCTCTCTCCTGCGGGCCGGGGGCTGAGAGAGGCGGCCCGGGGCTCCGAGGAGAAGCAGGACAGCCCTGGACGCCTGGCGCCCGCTTGACTCTGCCCCTCCTGTTACTGTGGTTTTTTCCTTCTCCTTTTTAAACAAAATAACAGTTTTTCTCTCAGGCAATGGATGATGAACTTTTCCCTTCTGCACTCTTCAATGAAAGTATAACTAAATACTCTCTTTTTTAACTTTTTTTTTAAATGTAGGTACATACAATAAAATGCACAAATATTACTGTACAGCTTGATGATTTTTTGACACATGTATACACTCAACCACTAAGCAAATCAAGGTATCAAATACTCTGTTTTTTCCCCTTCACTCGTGGGTTTAATTAACGGCCCTTAGATACTTCCTCTCCAGGACAGAGGCCCAGTGAAGACACATAAGGATGTGATAAAATAGTGTCAACTTTTGCCTTATACGCAGTTATGACTTACCTATACACATTTCATCATCTGTTTCTGCATCTCCTATGCACTGAAATTTAAATTCATTTAAAGAATCAGCAAATTTCCGCTTCGCTGAAGACAAATCTACCAAGAAAGAGTAAAAAACACAAATTACTGAAATAAACTGGCTTTCATATTTGTTGTACTTTTCAGTCCTTTTACTAATATAGCAGCTAGCAGATCTGTTCCCAAGTCCATTTCAAAGCACAAAAGAATGTAAATTGAAAATAATGAAGGCCTGTTCATGACATGAAATGCTGATTTGCTTGAGAAGTTAATATTGGTGTTACATTTGCTTTAACAACCCTAGTTTTCTCTCTCATGCCTCCCACCACACAGTGAGTTCTTCGGCTCCATTTGGCACAGGCGGGAATCCACTGCCCGAGGAGCGTGGAGAGGATGCACAGGTCAGAGCCGACTTGAGCACCTACAGCCTGGCAGGTCCGCCCGCCACTGACCCTCCATGTGGTCCGTGAAGCCACACCCACGTGAGGCTCCACAATACCTCCCCCTCGTCCAGCTCACACCACAAACTGACTCTGGGTGGGGAGCTGGAAGACAGGGCTTAGAACTGCCCAGTTCCCGTGGCACAGGGCATGTGGCCTTCCTCTCCCAACTCAAGTACACATGAGGCCAAGTTCTCAGATGTTCCCCACTCCCCTCACGAGGACAGTGGCCGACCAGCCACACAAGTTTCTGCCTGAACCATTTCCCTGAGTCACCACGTTCCACAACCACCATGAGAACAAAGCCCTGGCAATGTTTGGGGTTGGGGTAAAAATACACCCCACACATGGTATCTATAAAGAAAGCTCTCAGAGGCCCTTGTCAATTTTAAAAAATAAGCTTTCATTTAAGGCAGTAATAAAAGCCAATGATCCTTCCTGAACTCTTAGCTTCTGTTCAAGGTAGAAAACCAGCAAGGTACCTTTAAGAGGCCTGACAGACACACAGCTGCTCGGTACAAATGTGCTTAACTTAATTCCACATGCAGCTTCCTGCAGATTAGGCTAATCATTCAAATTACCCTCGTACATGTTTCCCTCACTGAAGGGGAAATGGCTTCATGCTCAAATTCCCCAAGGAGGGAAATATGAGGCATAACTGGCAACCAGGCCTGGCTTTAATGAGATGCTGGGTGGAGGTTGGGGGGAGTCTGGCTTCACAGATCACCATGACCTGTTGGAATAAAAGTACCCACAATCCCCAGCACTTCTCCTTTTTCCTCCCCAGATTTGTCCCTTGTCTTTAAGGGTCATGTTTCTTTCCATCTATTGTTTCTGTTGGTTTCCTCTCCGCATACCTGGCAGTGCATCCTGTTGGTGTAGGCTGAACAGAGTGCAGTGGGGAGTCGGGGGGTGGGAAACTGTGCACAGACCCAAGCCCCAGTCTTCAGCTCCCCAATCCCACTGCTCATTCCAGGCAATGGCTGCCAGTGGAAGAGCCAGGCTGGGCCATCCTGCTGTTCAGGTCTGGGGCTCAGGCTATTATGTAGATAACAGGGGCTCCTGCTCCACGACCACCCTCCCAGGGGCTCAAATGACATAGACCCGGAGCTAACTGTGGCTTGCTCCAGGCCCTCTGCTCTGCACCACAAGAGCAAGGCACCTGGAGTGAAAGAGACAGGAGCCAGCGCCATGGTCTCCAGTCTCTCCCAGTTCAGTCATTTTTATGGAACGGAACTTGGCAAAAAGTCCAAAGATGCTGGCAGGGGAGTCAGGCATCTCTTACAACCAGTCAACCAAGTTGAGGATACCGCTGAGAACACAAATCACTCCCTGGCAAGTCAAGAAAGAATCAGATGCATCTGAAAGTTAGAACACTGTGGGAAGAAGGCCACAGGAGGCCGCAGGCAGGCAGGATGAAAAAAAGGAATAATCTTTCAGAGGGGAAGACAAAGCCCTCCGCAAGGCCCAGAGTGTTCAGAGCATAGAGGGTGGGCATGTTTGTACTCAGTCTTATTTTAGTCAGGCTGTTCCCCCGATCTGAACTGAACTCACAAAGACAGGCCTGAACCAAGAGTAAGACCACAGTTGCTTCATGACCCACCTAACAATCTTTCTGTGCTTCCCCAAGAGGGCAAGAAGACTCAAGCTGGACAACCATCTCAGCGCAGTGGAAAGAGGCTGAGATGTACGCCAGGCTTGGGAAAGCTCCCAGCACGCACCTGAGAAGCTGTGCTGCCAGGAGCAGCTGCCAGTGAGGGTCAAGGAGTGGCTGACAGCACAGCGGGGCCTTTGTGGGGACTTGAGGATCCTTTTAACTGGAAGCAGGGCCTGCTAGCTGATGACCAGAAGGTAACCTGATTTCATTGTCCAGTGGCACACAGCACGCCCTGACACAGCACAAACCTGGGAAGCTATGCGGGCCCCACGAAGCTGACAAGGAGGTTGGTCCCCCAGATGGAAGAACTGGGTAATGAGCACTGGTATGGAGTCAATACACCAGTGAGAACAGCTGGGTAGAATGAGGATCCCAATTATTGGAATCTGAAAAGAAACGCACAACAGGCTTGAATGACTCATGCTTAAGAGAAATCTTGCAGTAAAGGTGAAATGGACACCTGCTGTTTTGCCTCTTGAACACCCACTCCCCAGTCTTTGGGATGCAGCTCAAGCTTGCTTTGGAGAACGTCCCTTCTCCACTTGAAATTACTGTAGTCCCGGTTATAGGCTGATTATAGGCCCTTCTCAAGCCCCTTGCCCTCAACCCAACCTCCACTGGCTCCAGGGGTCAAGTTTCAGCACCACTATTTACCAGATATGCACCTCACCCTGGGTTAGTCATAAAGTTGAGTCATCTCCCTAACCTATCAGCTTGGCAGGAGACCTAGTGAGACGCACTGCTTAAGCACTCTGCACACTAGGCTAGGCTATTCTTCCCACACATGAATCCTCTGATAGCAGAACCCAGCAAAGGTAAGCATGACTGCCTGTACTGAGAGCTCAGAGACGCTGAAGGGCTGACGTAAGAGTACACAGCTCTAAGAAGCGGATCTGTGACTCGATCTGCTCTCTGAACGGGGATCCTTGTAGCATGTGGGCACACCACGCTACATCACCTGCTAAGATAAACCTCTCTGTTCCTTGGAACAATGGAGAGGACATTAAAGGAAGAATACCCAAAAGCCATTGCTTCTTGTCTATTTCAACCCAAAAGGATTGGTGGCATCTTATGTAGATAATCACCTTGGATATGTGGCTGTGCATTTGTTCAGAGCACACAGGCATCTGAGATGCACTTTCCGGTAAGAGGAGAGGAGAAGAGGGGGGAGGAGGAGGAGGAGAGACCAGTACTGGGACTGGGTATGTGCCAAGCTTCATGGCACCCTGCTCATATAACCCCACTGTTTCATGTTCAAGCAGTGCAAGACACAGCTAGGAGCCAAGCAGTCAGTAATATTTACTTTGCAGAAAACATCTGTTGCTAGGAAGGCAGAATGCTGGCTGGAGCAGGGAGAAATCGTAGCTGGCAGCCTCTGGGGAGGACAAACGCAGAGACCAAGCAGGTAAGGGATACGGAAGCAGCCTGGGCCTCGAGAGGCAGCTCCCAAAGCCATCTGCGCACTAGACGACCAGAGGAAGGCACCCTTCCCTTCCTGGAGATGCCATGCTCTGCCTCCGCAGATTCTAATCTGCACACGGTTTAAGAGAATTTAATTTAAGTACAATTCTTTTTTTCAGTAAAACAGGTTTATCATAATTTTTTAAAAGTTAGAATCTACATTAATTTACACAAATTTTGCCAGTAATACAAGTGATTTCCTTTTTTGCCAGGGGTAAAACTTAACATGCATGTGCATGCACACACACACATATGTACCCCCACATAATGAAGGATTCAAGGGAACCTTGCATTTATTTTCAGTGCATCTATTTGACCTCCAAAGTTACCCAAATTGTATATACCCACCCTTGATTTTTTTTGCTACTCTGTCACATCTCCCCACACTTAAAAACTGATTAAAGTTAATAAAGACCAACCGCGGAGTAAGTACTTGCAACAGAATATTCCTGTGCTTTCAGCAACCAAGAGGCCAAAGTCCTCAGGCTCTGTTAATCTCTCCCTCCTCTGAAGGCCAATCACACTTACCGTCATCACCTTGTGTTCAGAATGATGCTGGAACTATTCATAAACGGTTTCATGTCGTAACACCCAGCGTGCCTAGGACAGGGCTGGACTAAAGATGGCCTTCAAAACCTGTTGTGGGGGTCTGATCAGGCACACAGTACAAGACGGCTGATCAGGGTTATGTCTGGGCTCCGACAAGAGAGCACCCACGGCGAGAGCTGAAAAGTGGACACGAGCCCCGAGAGCCTGCAGCTTTCCCCCACAACCCCCATTCCCAGGTGAACCTACACGCTCAAAACCAAATTCTCTCTCCTCTTCCAAAAGAGCCAATCTAGGGCATCCTCCTTTGTCCCCGGTTGGCAAAGGGCACCACGATTCATCCTGCCACAAGTCAGACACTGACATGTTGTCCTTCATAGCATGGTACCCTCCCCAAGTCTATCCATTTTGCCTCCTAAGCATCTCAACTCTGCACGCCATCCCCATCACTATCAGCCTATCAGCAACCCCTAATCAAATATTCCATTTGCCTGGACAACCGCCACTGCCTCCTCCCTGGTCTCCCAATATCCACTTTTGTCCCTCCGGTCACTTTGCCCAGTCATGTCAGCTCTAGCAGCAAATCCTGCGACAGTTTCCCAGAGCTTTGTTCTTAACACAGACTGAAGTCCCTCCCAAGGCCTGAGAGGTCCTGCAGGGCCTACGCCCCCACCTCCCTCTCTGGGCTCCAGACGCCCTGGCCTCAGCCCTGCTTCTATCTCCAGGCCTCAGCTCAGAAGTTCCTTCTTCCAAGAAACCTTCTTCCTCGACTTCTCTAAGTCCTATGACTTTCACTCCCTGAGTCCTATGCACCTCTTCTTCATGGTAATTTTATATTGTTCAGGTAATTCTTCAAGTAGTAGCAAGTTCCACAAGGGCAAGGACTGAGTCCCTTCATGCTCACCATTGTAGTCTCGGAACCTAGCACACTGCCTGGCTGAGCGCAGGTATCACAGAAAGAACAAAGGGAAGGG